AACAGATAGTAGGATAATTGTTCTACACCCCAGACAACTGCAAGTGCTTCCTGTGTTTTTCTGTAATGGCTAGCGCTTTAGACGCACAAGCTATAATCCAAGGGGCAAGACAGCTCCTAATCATGAGCAATTTCAGTGTTGCTTTTGAGGCACCTCGAGTAACTCACATTGCTCAGTGAGCAAGATCGCTGTCATTTGCTTTCTCACTTTTCGCATCACAGCAACATTTGAAGGTGTAACTTCATGCGAATCCGAAAAGCTGCTGTCAAATAAAGCAATTCAAATAAAATCAAATAAAACAATCTGAATTACCACGGCGCCGTTCTGCTGACGGGGGACATCCATCCTCGCTTTTGGTGCTTTTGCTGAGCCTTCCGGATGGTCGTGATTCGGTCCCGTTTTTGCTATACACTACCGAGATTTTGCTGCGGCCGTCGACCGAATTCTCCAGGAGAAAGTCGCCGAAGAGAATCTGTCAGCTTGATTTGTGCTTCGTCTTCCTGACGGGTTTTCACTTCGGTTTTGTCCGGTAGATCGTTAATGGGTATGAAGTTCAAACGAGGATAGCACTCACCGGAAACAGCAGCTACTTCATCGTCATCCTCCTCTTCGCCTTCGGCAGTGGCAGCGGCTGCACTGATTGTAGCGTTGCCTTCCGAGCTGGAATTGGGTGTTAATCGGTTGTTGCTCCACCGGGAAATATTTTCTATACCGAAAACTGTGGCGGCGGGTGCCGTTGGAGGGGCCATGGTTGAAATATTACTCACTACTCTATGTTTGCCATTGTGCAAACGGGAATGTTAGTCGAAAGGGGATCGGAGTTAGTTATTACCACATTGACTGGTGATGCCTTTTCCAATAGGACTGCTGTTACGACTGGAGAAATCTAAGATGATGGGATCGCTGCATTATAGGTGGAATCTCAGATGTTTAGAAGAATATTGGAGAGCTTTTTTGATCAGAGATGATCCTTTCGGAGTGACGACTGGGTCTGGTTGCTGAGGCGGAAGCACAACCCTTAAAGCTGGTTGGAAGTGTAGGTTGTTATTGGTAGTAAGCAGGCACTGGCACCGGTTCTTCCATAATATTCCAGTTATTCGAAAGGCTCAGCATACACAGCATACAGCATACAGATTACTTTATTTACTAACAAAACTGACGTCTAATATGAGACGTATATGCTTAAAACTAGTAAACGGAGTAGGCAGAGAAAATATTGAGGTACATTGAGTGACTCGCTGCAAAAAAGCAACTCAGAGTAAACCTGTCTCACTCCTTGCTGTAATCCTTGGAATGTTTTTTTTTTTTTCCTTTGGTTTGTTTTTTTCCGTCGATCTTGTTTTCCGTGCTGAGCACCAATGCTACCGACGTGCCAGGAAGGCAGCTACCACACCTGGACCCTACCTATCGACCCATCAACTTATGAACTGGGGACCAACGGCTTTACTTCCCATCCGAAGGAAGGCGTGATCAGAGATGTTATGCCTCAGAACATCCCGGCGGCGCCGACTGGGATTGAACACAGGCCTGCTGGGGTGAGAGGTAATCACGCTTACCACTACACCACCGGCGCCGTTATCCTTGGAATGTTAATTCTGTCGATTTGAGTAAGTACCGTCCCCAAACCAACAGGTGAGGCATCCACAAATAGTTCTATGCGGTTAGTTAGGTTGTAGTATCCAAGTTTCTTTATGGAATCTAAAGCTTCGTTTTTCAGCCAATTGACCTCATCATCTTCATTGTCATTCCAATAACAATTTTCGGAGTTCGTAAGATTTCGTAAGTGTTGTCCATGAAAGTGATCAGTCCCAAGAAGCTTTTAACTTCAGTGCAGCTGTTTGGTTGCCTGAAGTTCCTGATCGCTTATACTTTTCCTCCGCAACTTGCCAACCGTTAGGAGTAAGATGAAATCCGAGGAAGACAACCGACTGGCTTCCGAAGACACACTTGCTTTCGTTCAATACAACATTGTGGTTAGCAAGGCTGCATGTTTTCCCGAACACCAACACATCATTCAAATAATTGTTGCATCCCTTGCAACCAGCCAACTCAGTTCGTTGAAGCGTCTCCTGGAATATGTCGGGGTCGTTGCAGAGACCGAATGGCAGTCGAACGCAACGAAACATTCCGAATTCGGTGTAGAAGTTGGTAAGATGGCGTGAGTCTTCGTGCATTGGACAGATCCATTGTAGAAAATCAACTGGCCTCATCTAACTCGGAGATTATTTTCTCCAGAGTAGGTATCGGTTAAATGTTAGCACAACCCAAACGATCACTACAGGCTTCAAAGACATAACATGGTCTGAAGAATTTGTGAAGGAGCATCTGGAGACAGGTTAAGTGCGCTCCTGTGACAAGGGGTCCTGAAGTTAGTTCAGTTTTCTTTATTATCGAGACTTAAAGGATTCTGGAGGTGCAGAGATCTTCGAGAACGAGTCCAGAATATTTTTGAAAATTTGTAGGCAGAGCAGATTCGTCGTCCGTCATTACATCGTCGAGCTTAACATCAGCAGGAGCCAGCCCATCGTCTGAAATTAGTTCTTCTATGAGAAAATGCTTTTTAAGATTAAAAAAAAAGCTTCTAAATAGCTTCTTAAGAAGATTCTAAAAGAAGATTCTTAAACAAACATCCATAAGAAGATTCTAAAAGAAGCTTTTTTTGGAACCTCATTCAAGTCGCTCTGCTCCTCGGGCGTCACTTGCATCCGTATATCGTTGGTTCAGTAGGTTCGTGTGTGCTCGAATAAGGTGTCCGTGCTTGCGGAAAACAATGTAGTTCACCTGGCCTGGAATTTATTTAATTCTCTGTGTTCTACTTCTATTTAGAGTTGACCAGAAAACTGAGAGGAATATTTGGAGATACCGGAACATGAGCAGTTTTTTTTAGTGTTTATGCTAAATGGCAGGAACTGCCCTCAGAATTTGATTCTCAAGGAATTCATTTCAATATCCCCTCCAATTTCCCACAAAATATTCATCTGAATCACATTTAAGATTGCAAAACGCCCTTGGAATCTTGCATAAAACATGGTGACCAGCAAATCCCGTTCAGCAACTTCCTGGTTAATTTCGGGAATCCTCCCGGTTGTGCGATATACATTTAAATTAAGCATAAAAGAGAATGCCATTGAGCTGAAGAGATCACTAAGTTAAATGGGTCATTATTAAGACAGTAATATTTTTTTTGGATCTTGAATTTGGTTCTGCGTCGAACCCTTCAAAATTTGACTAGGAAAATTCGCTCAAAACATAAGAGAATTTTAATTGGTTGTTCCCAAGCATTTCCCTTAAAATTTCCTTGAATCCATTTCCCTTCACAGAGTTCTTTTCAGAATTGCTATTGGAAAAACCAATGGGTGGGCTTCGTGGTCGTGCGGTTAGCGGTGTCACCCGTCGTTCAGGCGTTCGTGAGTTCCACGAAGTCAGGGTTCGATCCCGCTCCAGCCGGTGGAACTTTTCGCAACCCGAAAATTTCCCTACTTGTCTACTGGGTGTTGTGCGTTGTTCGTTCTCTATTGTTAAGTGTTCAATCTATGCAATTTCTGGTTGAAGACGGTGTGAATTGTCTTTTAGATGTTCCACAATTGCCGTTGATTGCCTATTAGCAAGTGTTTAGGGTCATTTTTAACGGATGTCGTATCTTTCCACAGCTTTTCAATAGTGATGTGACGTGTCGTGCAAAAGTTTAGCTCTGGCCATTCGAGAACCAAGCTCAGATCCCAATGTTGGTTGGTTGGTTGTCTTTATTAAGGAGATTTTCAGTCACGATCCCAATGTTTGCAAGTGTTCTCAGTGGTTTCCCTCGATGCTTTTAGAATATATTTAAAAGTGAAAGGCTGATAAATACAAATTCTAAATATGATTGCAATAATTTACGTGTAAAGAATTTTCAAGTTCACTTGCAGAGGTTATCAATAAGCTGCAAATAGCAAATAACAAATTCCATGCTTATCAGCCGAACGTAGAGCGTTGCCCGAAACATAAACAAATTTATGCAACATAAAAAAAATCCGGTGTAATAAAATATACGCACTTCATTCAGCGGCGATTCATACGCATCTAGGTGTCGTGTCATAAGCAGGTTTTGATTTCCAGCACTGACAACAATTTCAAGGATAACCAGTTTCCCCTCAGCCGGTCGCCTTCGAGGCGCGGATTTACTTTTCTTGAATAGGAAAGTCGCATTCCTTCGCGTTTGTTTTGCGTAGCTTATTAAACAATGAGCTACGCCGTAACTTTAACATGCCAGACATCCTTTCAAGAACGACAGAATATAGAACTACAGAAAGATAGATGTTTCCAACGACGTAAATTATTGCTAGCATTCAACACAGTAGACAAACTATATGATCCAGACTTTGCTTTTGGCATTCAAGAATAAATTTAGTGCCAGCATTTCCAAAAGGGTGAAATTTCCTTTGTAAACAATGGCGTTAGCCATCGATGTCTCGCGAATAAAAGCTCTCAAATGCAAATTAACGAATGTTTCCGCTACCATCTGGTATCGTTAATTTGTAGGAAGGAGCTTTCAATTTGCCGGAAATCGGCGCTTGAAGTCACTGTTTAGCAAAGCAGTTTGGCCCTAATGAAATGTTGGCACTGAATTTTACGTTCATGCCAAAAATAACACACCAGAGAAAAACTGTTTCTGGATCGAATCTGCCTTCCATTGTATGCAATAAAAATGATTGATGACGTCAATCGTGGCACCCGTAACGAAGCCAAGCGAAGGAAAACCGCACACTCGGGAGTAAGGTGTGCGTGTTTACAAACAAACACCACCGTCGTTCGCTGTTTCGTCGCTATTTCACAAGCTGTCAAATGCCTACAGTGGTATTGGTTTGATCACGCGAGCCACTCATCCAAGCTCTTGTCGATGTGTGCGTGTTGCGGGTGACGAATCTTCTCCCTTCCTCCAATGCCAAAGCCGTAAAGTGAAAAGAAAAATCGACGTTCTGCCTTGCAATAAAAATGCAAAAAAAAAAAAAAAAAACACTTACCAATTTTAGCACCCCGAGCACCAGCACCGTGGTGAAAATGAATCCTTTCCAGCAGTAGGACATTTTTCGATGCTATGTAATCTCCAACTTGCACAACCCGAGCAGGGGAACGAACGGAAAACAATAGAGGCACGCACAAAGATTTTCCCCGCCTTAAACTACTGCTTCTTCTTATTTTCTACTTGCAGAGGGGGAATTTGCACAATACTTTTTCCACCACTTTTCACACAGCTCAGAAAATATCTCTTTTACTGCGGGACCATTTTTGGAAACACCACCACGAAAATCGAAACACTTAACAAAGGGAGCGTTTTCTTCCAGCTGTGAGAGCTCCCTTGCAGTTAACCAATATTCCTTAACCAAATCTCACACCACTTTTTTTTTCTGTTGCTGCTGTTGTTCAAGCAAGCAGAGCCTTCTGGGTAATTCCTACGCACAATCGAACCGACGGTTTTGCTCACTACTAAGAGCTTTTTACCCGTCCACACGGCACGAAATCTGAAAAGAAACTGAACAGGGGAAAGATGCGACACACACGAATAAAAAAAAAACCTGATGCCCTTTAACAATGGTGAGTTCCCATTAGTCCGTTTTTTTTTTCTGCGTGAAGTGTCAGTACATTTTAGAACAAACGCCGAGTGCTAAAACATAAACGATAAAATAAGATCACTCAAAATTTAGTTGAATTCAACTCAATTTACTCACAAAGTGAGTGAAATCCCTAATAAAAATTGTATGGTTAATTTGCTTAACGACGTGTTGTGGGTATCATCCAAACCATGTGTGAAATAGTTCAATGATTTGGGTTATCGTTCGTTTATGGTTATTTTTTATTAGGGATTTTCTTCGATTTTCCACACAGATAGAAATTTCCTTAAATACCTTTTGGCAAATTTCAGAGCAGATGCCTTGCAAAAAGTTAATGATGATCATGTGTCAAATCTATCTATCTATCTTCTATCTTCTATCTTCTTCTTCTATATATATAAAAATGAATTTCTGTCTGTCTGTCTGTCTGCCTGACCCTTATAGACTCGGAAACTACTGAACCGATTGGCGTGAAAATTTGTATACAGGGGTTTTTGGGGCCGTGGAAGGTTCTTATGATGGTTCGAGACCCCTCCCCCTTCTGTAAGGGGGGGCTCCCATACAAATGAAACAGAAATTTCTGCATAACTCGAGAATTAATCAAGCAAATGGAACCAAATTAGGCATGTGGGGGCGAGTGTGGGGGTATAAGGAGATAATCATAGGGGGTAGCCCCTTAGATAATAGGGGGGGGGGGCTACGTACAATATAGCATGCTTTTTTTTTTAAATCGGCGCATAAACTCAAGCTAATATTGAATCCCGAGTAAGACCGGGCACACTCAGCTAGTGAAATATATAAATGGTCACACATACCGCTTATGTATTCTTATAGGACCTGTAGTGATACAGAAATCGTAGTTGAACTCTAAAATATATTGTAGATAAAACCAGGTACATATTTATTATACAGAATTGAATATTTAAATAAAAATAACAACACGGTTAAATGTAAGCAAAACCCAAACGCTCACTGCATCATGTTTGGCAACCAGGCATGTAATTTACGCAAAGCCTATGCGTTTTGGCAGCATTTTCGGAATGTTCGGTCACATAACTGAGATGCGAATTGGATTCATTCTGTGTGCTTATTTCATGAAAGCAGGACGTGCGTTTCAACGTGGGATACGACCTCGGATACGACAGGACCTATGTGGATTGTCTTATGGAATGAATAAGGCTGTGTTTTGGCAAAAATGCATAAGTGAAACACACGAATAAAATAATTAAATGTCTTTTCGTGCAGGAAAAACTTCTCGAATATGAGGAAAATTGTCCCTAGTATACACGGCAAATGAGAACGACGCAAATTTGAGTTTAGTTCACTCATAATAGCCAAAAGTGCATGAACTCTTAGTAAATGTAGCTCATGGTTTCCTGTGGAAAACCTAAAAAATCTACCGGAAAATGAGGAAATTGACGAAAATTTTATTCAGTCTCGGAGTAGTACCAATAGACCGAGTTACTTTTCTCAAATTCGGGAATTTTACCCTGGAAAATCCTGGAAAAACCTGGGAAAACATGAGACAAATTTTACTCATCGCTGAGTTCCTGCACTTTTGGCGATTATGAGTGAACTGAACTCAAATTTGAGTCGTTCTCATTCGCCGTGTAGGAGTATAATAAAAGCACAGACAAACAGACATAAATCATTGAATATTTCTCATTGTAAAACATCGTCGCTAAAACATTACCGCCATCCTAGGGGCATCCCACTCTAAACTTTGTATTTCTCACGATGTACTTATAAAGTTCTAACTGAAATCTTAGATACCTATAAATACTTAAGAAATACTTATTACTAGATTGTTTCCCTGGTTGCTAGACAAATTTCTGTTGTTTGTTTACTCAATGTTGTCAGGGATTGGAAAGGTCAATTATGGTATTTCGTTTATGAGAATGTGTCTTTTCTTCTGACATAAGAGACAATTTAAAAAAAAATCTGCTTTCCAGCTGCACCGATTCTCAACCTTAAGTACCCGTCTCTCTTATTTAAGTAGCTATATTTGAGATAGTATCTGAGCAAACACACTTTTTCCGAACAAGTTTCATTATAATATTCACTCCTATTCCCTATTTGGATCGAAACGGATTTTTTTTTTTTTCCTTTGGTTTGTTTTTTTCCGTCGATCTTGTTTTCCGTGCTGAGCACCAATGCTACCGACGTGCCAGGAAGGCAGCTCCCACACCTGGACCCTACCTATCGACCCATCAACTCATGAACCGGGGACCAACGGCTTTACTTCCCATCCGAAGAAAGGCGTGATCAGAGATGTTATGCCTCAGAACATCCCGGCGGCGCCGACTGGGATTGAACCCAGGTCTGCTGGGGTGAGAGGTAATCACGCTACACTACACCACCGGCGCCGTTGAAACGGATTTGTCATAAGTAATTTTTGAAAATTAGTTTTGATCAAAATAATGGTAGATAGATAAGTGATTAATTGGAATCCATTGAGCAAATTTAGTATTAGGTAAACATGTGAAAGAGAACAGAGAGCCAAATGTACACCATTTATTTTCAAAATATATATCTACGTTTTTTATTTGTCAAAGCTCATTTGCATTAGATTCACAAAGCTGAAGTTCAATTTTACATTAACAGAGTTTTCTTTAAACTAATGTTAGTGGAACGAGGACCGATTACTCGTGGCATGCTCGAGGTTAGGGGTAACAATTGGGTAAATAGGTGGAAGTTCTCGGGGTTTCACTGAAGTCCCCATACAGGTCTGCATAGTTGACGTCGTACCGTTTCCAAATTAACTCTGTCATCGTCCTCGTATTGTGATGTAACTTCAGACTTCAAGAGCGCTATGGTTAGGCTACTTGAAAATGCCAGTACGTCCAGCACCTTTTTCATCTTATTACGAATATCCTCGGCAAAATCACCAAAGCACCGTTGAATGATGACTGCAAATAAAATATTTAATATAAAATGAGTAACAGCAATAGTCAATTAAATTATATTGAAATCATCAAAATATCTATTTTATCCTATCAGTATGAGTATAGTGAAATAGATATTTTACTTACCGTACAGGAGACTAACTCTTAGGTAGACATTTTGCAAAATTCACGCGTAATGTTTGACATCGAAATAATAAAACAATTGCACTAGGAATCGAGGTTATTGCCAAGACTTGCTATGATCAAAATAACGTCCAGATAAAAATATTTGAAAATACTTTAAAATACTTAAGAGATATTTAACAATACTTAATGAGTATTGGAGCTAAAGTTTAGAGTGGGATGCCCCTAGCCGCCATCTGTTGAGTACACTGTGGTGGGTAGTACGCTGAACAGATGGCGGTAGTGTGCAAACGTCAAACGCAAGGGAATTGACTATGCGTGCCACAGGTAGCGGTACTACCAACTACGATACTTTTAAATTGACCGTTAAATGCTTGTTCGATAAACATCTTGCGAGTGTTATGTCTGTTTGTCTGTGATAAAAGACTAATGGCGGTAATTTCCAACTCGGATTAACTGTTAAAACTGTCCCTGTTTGGATGATCTGCAAAATGTTTACTTAGAGTCGTGTTGATTAACTCTGGTGTCGACATCAAAGCAGCTAGACATTCTTGATCGGGATTTAATGCGAGGATAATACCGGCTGGAGCTTACCTCCATAAGGGAAACTCTCTCGATTTTCTTCACATGGTCAATGAGATCAACCGAAATTTGAGTTTAGTTTTTCTTTTCCTTGATTTGTTTTCCGTGCTGAGCACCAGGGAGACATCTCTCACACTTGGACCTTATCTATCGATCCATCAACTCATGAACCATGGATTAATGGTTTAAATTCCCTTCCGAAGGAAAGCGTTATCTGAGATGTTATGCCTCAGAACATCCCGGCGGTGCCGACTGTGATTGAACTCAGGCCTGCTGGAGAGAGAGGTAATCATGCTTACTACTACACCACCGGCATCGTTAGTTTAGTATTCTTAGAAACTCACCGATGAGTCAATTTGCCTTATGTTTTTCCTGTTTTGCTGAATAAAAAAATTCAGACCATGAGAAAAGTAAAGATTGGATTCACTCAACCTAATCCTAGCCTGAGTAAAATTATCGTCAATTTTCCTCATTTCCAGCAGATTTTTGAGATTTTTTACACGAAAACGGGGCAAATTTACTGCATTTCTAGATTACTAGAATTAGGGCGTAACAGCCTTTGGAAACAATGACTTCTATCGATGATATCTAGGAATTAAAGCAACGCCCACGCAAACTAATATATCCATCGGATAGAGAAATCTTCCCCTACCCGATGAGGATGTTGGTTTGCGAGGGCAAGCCACCGACAAACCGACATGAATGACCATAGCAACAACAATCAAATTTCTGACCACAGCACACTACTGACATCTGGCTCCGTGTTCGCGGGAGATATTTAGCTAAGCCATGAACCCGCATACAAAAGTTATGAATTGATTCGTGTCTGATCTATTCTGGACAAATTATTTTTATCTAGATAAAAAATTCTACGGTTTTGACCAGTGTTGGAAAAATATCAAAAAATCAAATTCCACCAAATATCAAGATCACGCTTGATTTTCGTACACAAAAATCAACAAGCAAACAACAAGCAAACGAGGTGCAACAGAATCATTTTTGCCTAGTATCAACTCTCAGCTTCAACTTTACACAATGTGAATAGTCTCGCAAAATCAATATCAGGCATAATATCAACAATCAATACGAAACTAACGATTTTAAATTGGCTCACTACTTGACCTGCCTATTGGTCCCAAGCAAATCGATTAACGTACCCCCCAACAAACATTGAAAGCTGAATAAGAGCTTATTCATGCAAAAATTTGCTTCTTCAGCTAAAAATTGGCTTATTCAACTCTTAACCAGTTCAAATTGTTTGTTGGGCCCATTCTAGTCAAAATTCTAGTACTACACAACGTTTGTTTTGATTCGCTATGAAAGTTTGACAGATAAAATGAGGGGTTATTGGATTTTCGTATGTATCGAGGGGTGATTCGACTAGCTTGGGACCGAAGATAGTACCAGAGCTGAGCCAATAAAGTTGAGCACGTTTCTTCGGGACCTACTTGTCTTAGAGTTACCTCTATGATAATATTTTGCTCCAATATCACGCGTGATATTGATAGCGTATGAAAGCGGAAAAATATCAATTTGCTCATGATTATGCCATCACTGGTTTTGACAGCTCAGATCACTGCACATTTAAATCGGTCGTTTACGATTTTCGGGCATAAGTCAGAATCTCGGTCAGAATTAATTTTCATGTCGGTTTGTCCGTGGGTGAGCGTTGATTTTCTAGAAATCATCGAGATAAGTCATTGTTTACAAAAAATGTTACGCCCTAATTCCAGCTCTATCTAGATTTATTCATTTTCCAAACTGAACTTAAATTTGGATTGATCTTATTGGCCATGCATATTGTCCGTATCGCCAGAGGGTGTGCGTAGTGGGTTACGAATAAAAATACCACATGTTACATCAATAGTTACATCTGAATTAAAAAAAAAAGACATTTTTATTTCAACACTGTCAGGTTTTTCATTTTGAAAATTTCACTTTATAAAAGTAATGACCGGATAATATTGATTTGACATTTGATTGACGTTTGTTTTTTTTTTCTTTATTGAATTAATAAACGGTAATTCTTGACAGTCAGATATTCTGCGATTTAAAGGTTTTCAACTCAAGAGCAAATTTTCATTATGTCGTAAGTAACATTCACACCGATCCGAGAAAATTAAAGTTTTGTTTTGAGACCGAAAAGTTATTCCTATTTCCAATTAAACACATATAATCTCATAGTGATAGCAATGTTTAACATATTTAGCCGGGTTTTAATCATACAAAGGCAAATCGCTAGCTTTCATGCTAAGAAATACTGGTTTTTGAGTCAAAAGTTATTATACGTCGTTTGGTGGCCCCTATTGTTACTTAAGTCAAAGTGTATTTACCAGGATATTCGAGAGAATTACCAATTACGTCTCCTTACGTGCAGCCCATTCATCATTTTAGGACCACCGAAATCATCTTAGCAACAAATAGTTCGATTTATTCACTTTAATAATGAGAAAACGAAACGACGAAAGTACACTTTTCACGGGTTTCTCAGTGCTGTTACTTAAGGCAAACGGCATCTCCATAGAAATCGGGTGACTTAAGTAATATCGAAAACTATTTTGATTGGAAGGTGATTACGTCAAAAAGCAATTCGACTGGTAAATAAATTTAAAAGTGGGATGTGATCCTATATTCGGACAGTATATAGTGTAATAGCAGGAGCATCGATTGACACTGATAGCTCGACTTTGTTTACCTTTGTTACATTCGACGTAATGAAAATTTGCTCTTGATTACTAAAGTAAAATCTACAGGGTTGATTACTGAAAGCTCAACTGTTCAAAATCTCAGTAAAAGTGTACCGACTTCGGTAATCTGAACTCTGCGTTTACTCTTTTAGAAATTCCTCTCACGCTAACCTGAAAGTATTCATTAAATGAGTATCTTGTACTCATTTTTTGAAATTATTCAAAACTGTCAAAAAATGGGTATTTTCAAAAATCCAAAAGCGGGTACTTTTTCCCCATTTTTGAAAATATCCTCTGCAATTAAAATGGATAAAAATAAGCATTCAATAAATGTTAAAACAGCTATTTGACGTTCACACATTCGTGAATTTTGCGTTCGTTCATCCGTAAAAAATCGATTCGAATTAACAGATTCGTTCCAGCAGGTGTTGATTGAGGTAAACAAGTTAATTTGAAAATACTTGTGCGGCTGGGAGTTAAATTATTCTTTTTTACTTTCAGGGAAAGCAGGATTCCTGGTCACGATCTGGTACCGACTTTTACGAGGTAAGGATAAAAAGTGCAACTAGGAAGAAAATTAAACCATTCTAAAAGCATGTACCTTTCAGGTTAGTGAAGATCTTCGAAAAAGTAAATGTAGTACACATGCGGAAAGCCCGAACCTGCTCGAAGAGCAGCATCCCTCCCACCAGTGATCTGAACTGAATACTGGCGTTGACGGCACCATTGAAAAATCCTCTATGCTAGCAAATAATTTCAGTTTTTCATAGGAATTTTCAGTGAAGTGAAAGGATAGTACGATGGCCGCAATGTTTCACGCACAGTCTGACGTTTTCTTATGGATTTTACCAGACGGACACTATGCCTCGATTGGTCAACGATTATGATAAGTGCTTACGTGCAATAAAGCGTAATAATTATTATTGTTTTGATTTCATTGTTTAAGTATTTCAATTGGTTTGATTACAGACTCCCCCCCCCCCACCCTGAAGCAAAAACCAAATCAATAAAATGGGTACTTTTTACTCATGTACAGAAAAAGAAAGATGGATAAAAAATACCCCTTTTTTGGCGTATTCATCAAATACTCATTAATGAGTAAAGACGGTTTTACTCATTTCATGAGTTAAGCCACTTTTCTTCAAAATGGGTAAAATTTTACTCATTAATGGGTACTTTGGAGTTAGCGTGCTGAGTAGAAGGTACTCTCTCTTTCTGAGTGAGATTGAACACCCGTGTCAGAGCTTTGCCTTGTTCTAAAATTTGCCGTTAAATCCACCCCTGGTACCATTCGACCACGGGCAATGTAATTCTTCAGCAGTCCCTTTTTGTTTATGTTTTTCCTTGCTTTTCCGCCCATCCTTCGAGGGGGTGGGCCGCAGTGGGTGAAACTTCGGCAGTCGGAGGAGTGTCGCGCAAGGCACACTACGACAGCGTAGTACCTAAATGGACACCGCCCAGCTAGACGGAAAATTGCACGACCTGCATCTTCGTGCCACCCAAACTCTGCAGCTAATCGGTCTAGTTGAGGTGAATCGAGTTTTGTACGACACTTCCGATCCGCACTACAGTACTAAGAAAGTCAAGAGTGCAGCCTGGAAGCAGATTACGGCCGCAGTGCTGGGTATAAAACCGGACGAGGTCTACCGCTATCAATCGTTGCAGATTCAGCACAAGTGGAAAAGCCTCCGGACGGCGTACGTGCGCCAGAAGCGGAAGAATAATCCGGCCATTCCATATCGGTATGCCGATTTGATGAGTTTTCTCGATCCGTTTCTGCGGCGGGATGAAGGAGCTTCAGCTGCTGTTTCACTTCAATCCAGTAGGTTCTCGGCCCCCTTCGAGTTGGATTTCGATGAAGAAGTTGGCACAGATATGGCGAATGCAGGTTTGTCTTTAACTTCAATGGAAAATTGAAAATATTCATGCAGTTTCTATTTTAGCCATTCAAGATGCTTGTATCGATCTGTTCGATCCCATCGAGGAAGATCTAACTTGCGATACCGGTGTAATGGTGCAAAAGATTGCAGCAGCTCCGATTTCGGTGCTTTCCACGGTAGGATCAACCATCGCGGAATCGAACAGCACCAGCAGCACTTCGTCAGCGACCACGCAAATCAGCCCCAGTCAGATTGATGAGCTGGACGGGTTCTTCATGCAGATCTCACGCACGGTTCGAAAGTTTTCTCCGCGGAAAATCATCGAACTCAAGATGCAAATATTTAACCTCGTTTCCCAGGCCGAACTGGACGAGCTGGATGCGCTCAATAAGTATTAGCTCAGGCACATGTACTTTAGTGAATCGGAGTCCTGTAACTTGTTAGACTGCTAATTTATTTATTTATTTATCTAGTATTTATATTTATTTATGAATTTAAAAAAGCATATGATTTTATTTATACGTTTGGAGACGATTTGCAGTTAAGGTGGTTATTTCGTACACGCAGCACATGAGATTTGATATTCTTTCACGCTCGGAAGTATTACACACAATTCCAAATATACTATTATAGTAACAATGCCAACATCACGTAGGAAAAGACGTTAAAAACCTTTAGTGCCAAACACACTCACAATAGACTGGTTATTTCGAATGCAATTGAAATGCTCCTTTTTAAGTAAAGCCTAGTCATTTTCGAGCATAATAGAACAATATATCAGCAACGAATACATATAATATAATATAAAACCTAGACCTTTAACATTTTTTAGACCCATTTTTATCGTAGCTAGTCATCGTTAGTGTTAACCTATATCCAATGTAACTGATTTGCTAATTAAAATTTTGCAAATGTTTGTCTAAATATCTCGTAATTATTTATTTGTCATCCGAAATTCCTATTTGGACTTGCTACTTACCTTACCAATCAGGCTAAGACCTTGACGTCCTATGCTGTCCGAAGAAGTCGTCTTCCCCTTACTCGATCCATGGTTACACGTCGCCAGCCTCGTAGTCTGCGAAGGGTCCGCAGGTCGGCTTCTGCTTGGTCGATCCATCTTGCCCGCGCGACTCTTCTTCTTGAACATGTTGGATCGATCTCGAGAACCATTTTCACTGGGTGGTCGTCCGGCATTCTTACGACGTGTCCAACCCACCGTAGTCGCCCAATTTCTTACAGTGTGTACGATGGATGGTTCTCCCAGCAGCTGATGGTACGCAACACCTTCCGTTCGAAAATACCTATGGTCCTCACGGGCATAGTACAGGCATACAAGTAACTCTAAGACTAGTAGATCAACAACAAACGAGAGGATGCGCCAGACGGCGCCTTGCGATCGATGTCAGTAAGATCGCAAGTATGCGTACTGACACACTGGCCCTAATGTAGGACTAAGTCGAGCGGAAACCCGTTTATACAAACCACGCTACGGGCTGGCGGCCAAGGTATTTCATTCTCTTAGTATCGTCGGGTGGAACCGACCGAAACGACGTTTGAGCTAATGCCTTGTCCGTCTTCGTCCCATAAAACCCTGACAGGCCTTAGAATACGTTCCTACCGTGCCACCCAGTTGGGAGACTGCGGTGGGAATAGGTTCGGTTGAGTTATTCCCGTCTTACGCGATCCGGCTCTGAACATAGCGCCCCATGAAGGCCTATGTCAACCCTCGCCATGGACCTCACTGCTTGCATAGGCACCCATGGGGATCAAACAGCGACTATTCCAGTTGCACGGTTAGAATAGCGGTCTAAGGGGGACCCAACAGTCAGAATGATGGAAAACCATCAAAACCAATCAAAAAACCAACCCAGAGATCCAGTCGCCAAGGAGGCGACCGCGAACCCATTCGCGAAGGGTGGTCTTACGAGATCTCTGCAAGACGCGGAGCTAAGCGACGGGACCGGTGGACAGCCGGAGGAGCAACCTATGGATGGGCCCAGGGTAATAAAAGTCATGAGTGGCTTTGGGGCCCTCCCTAGGATGCTGGCTATCGCGGGACAGCTCGATGCCATCATCGAGTTCACGAGCACGCAACTGTGAACGAGGCCCAGGACGACTACGAGCGGCTTAAGAAGCGACTAGAAGTCGCCCAGAGGGCGGAAAAGAAGGAGCCGAAGTCTACCCAGACGGACGCCTTCAACTTTGCAGGCAACAGCACGATGGCCAGCGAGGCCCTCCACTTTTCCGTGACGCATGGGCAGAAGCGTGACCGGCACTCGCCAGTAAAGGGTGCGGCACGCCCTAAGAGACGGAAAGTCTGTGCACAGGTAGAGTGCGTGGCAGTGGTCGACCAGTCCAATGCAGCAGTGGACGAGCCGCAGAAGAGGTCTGAAGTAGGATACAGAGCGATTGAGAAAAGTGGCGGTTCCAAGCAGGGCGGTAACAAGGGCGCACCCCCGAAACCCCCGAAAAAAAAACTGTCCCTGAGAGCAGCACTGCCCGGAACAAGAACAAGACGAAGGGCGAGGCTCTCATCATCAAGACGGAAGCGTCGAAGTACGCGGAAGTTTTGAGGAAGATGAGAGCTGACGAGCGTTTTGCGGAGATGGGTAGTAACGTGAGGAGCATCAGGCGCACTCGTACTGGCGAGATGCTCCTGGTGCTTAAGCGTGGCGATAAAGACCAGGGCTTACCAGAAACTGGCAAAGGAGGTCGTTGATAAATGGGGTGCAGGTGAAGTCGCTACGCTCGACAATCACCATCCAGGTTAAGGACTTGGACGAGGTGACAGAGGTGACCGAACTAGTCACGGCGCTCAGGGAGCAGTGCCAAATCGAGGTACCGCCAATAGCGGTTACCCTGATGAAGAGACTGTTCTCCACCCAGGTGGCTACCGTCAAGCTCTCGGCAGCTGATACCAGAAAAGCGGCAGCCACAGGGAGGGTGCGAGGGCCTGGTCGGTTTGCTCCGTGAGCATTCCCCGACCGATTACGGCTTGCTTCAGATGCTTCGATTAGGGCCATCTGACACGTGACTGCAAGAACACCGATAGAAGCAAGCTGTGCAGACGGTGCGGCTCGAAGGGCCACAAGGCGCAAAGTTGCCAAAAGCCGCCGAAGTACACAATATGCGTGGAGAAAGGGAAATCCCCTACCAACCACATGGCAGGTGGCCCGCGCTGCCCGGGGGCCAAGAGCAATGCTGCCCTGGCCAAGAGCAATGCTCAGTCATGTTCGAGGTAGCGCAGTTGAACCTGAAGCATTGCAGGTCTGCCCTGCAACTGTTGAGACAATCGGCAGTGGGAATTGGGTCACGGACGCGTTGGGGATGGCGGCGATATGCACGATCTTCCCCGTTCAGGAGGTGGTCTCGTCCAACTCGAGCGAGGGATTCGTGATCGCCAGGGTCAACGGAGTATATCTAAGTAGCTGTTATGCTCGGCCCAGGTGGTTCATCGAGCAGTTCCCGCAGATGGTGGACAGACTTGTCGGCCTAAGACCGGTGGTCATTGCAGGCGACTTTAACGCATGGGTGGTGGAGTGGGGCAGCCACCACACCAACCAGAGAGGATGCATCCTACTGGAGGCAATGGGCAAACTGGACGTTGTACTAGCCAACAGCGGTTCGGTCAGTACCTACAGAAGGAACGGTGCAGAATCCGTCATTGATGTGACGTACTGCAACCCGTGTTTGGAGGGCAACCTACACTGGAGGGTCGATGAGGGTTACACCCACAGCTACCATCAGGCGATTCGCTACAGTGTGGGACAAGGTGAGAGGCGAGTGGCAGGAGGGAATCCCTCCTGCGCTCGAGGCTGGCGGACGTCGTTCTTCGATGAAGAGGTCTTCAGCGAAGCACTGAGGCGGGAATGGATAACTCTTGATCTGACGGGGGAAGAGCTGATAGCATCGCTGACAAGGGCGTGCGATACAACCATGCCTGGGAGGGCCATAGACCGGTGTACTGGTGGAGCGAGTCGATTGCTATCCTCAGGGCGTCTTGCCTCCAGGCGAGAAGGAGGATGCAACGGGCTCGTACGGCCGATACTCGAAAGGAACGCCGTGTCGCTCTTCGAGCGCAGACGCAAACGCGCGTGCTTCGACAGCTTATGCCAAAGCGCTAACACGAACCCCTGGGGGGATGCCAACAAAGTGGTCATGGCCAAGACCCGTGGCGTGGCGGCACCCCCGGAGAGATCGCCGGCGATGCTGGCGTCGATCGTGCAGTTCTTGTTTCCACGTAGGGACGTTGACTCCTGGCCACGGGGTATCCCAGTCGCGGAACAGGGAGAAGTGCCTAGAGCGACTAACAGTGAACTGACTGACATTGCCAAGTCGCTGGTGGTGGACAAGGCCCCGGGCTCGGATGGGATCCCGGTTGTGGCTCCGAGGGCGACCGTTACGGAAAATCCAGACATGTTCAGGTCTGAATTTCAGACCTGTCTGGACGTAGGCATCTTCCCAGATGCGTGGAAGCGGCAGAGGCTGGTGCTTCTCCCGAAGTCAGGAAAACCCCCTGGGGACCCGTCAGCATACAGGCCCATCTGTTTGCTGGACACCACTGGCAAACTGCTTGAGAGGGTCATCCTCAACAGGCTGTCGGCTTACACCGAAGGTGTAGACGGCCTGTCAAGCAGCCAGTGCGGGTTCCGAAAAGGCAGATATACGGTGGAAGCCATCCGCGACGTCATCCAGACGGCAGAGGTGGTCCATCGGAAAAGAAGGGATATTCGTTACTGCGCGGTGGTAACTTTAGACGTGAAGAACGCGTTCAACAGCGCGTGCTGGGGGGCGATAGCCCGCTCGCTACACCAACTCCGAATCCCCGGAGGGGTGTACAAGATTCTGGAAAGCTACTTCGAGAATCTTGTGTTGAAGTATGACACAGAAGATGGCGAAAAATGCGTTAGAGTCACCGCAGGAGTGCCACAAGGCTCCATCCTGGGCCCGGTGTTATGGAACGTCATGTACGACGGAGTGTTGAGGATAACATTCCTAGTAGGCGTGAAAATTGTTGGTTTTGCCGACGATGTCACGCTGGTAGTCTATGGGGAATCCCTCGAAGAGGTAGAGCTGACAGCGGCTCACTCCGTTAAGCTTGTGGAGGAATGGATGAGATCCAGGAAACTGGAGCTTGCCCATCACAAGACGGAGGTTTTTTTTTTTTAATTCTTTATTTAAGAGATTTTTAGCCTTAGGCTAGTTCATCTCTAACAAGACGGAGGTGGTCGTAGTCAACAATCGCATGTCGGTGCAGCATGCGACGTTGACAGTTGGCGAGAGCACAATTAGGTCTGTGCGCTCTCTGAAACTCTTGGGGGTTATGCTCGATGATAAGCTCAGCTTCGGCTGCCACGTCGAGTACGCCTGCAAGAGAGCGTCTACGGCTGTGGGGGCATTATCCCGCATGATGTCAAACAGCTCGGCGGTGAGTGCCAGTAAGCGCAGGCTCCTCGCCGGGGTCGTAGTATCTATCCTCTGATACGGAGGCCCTGCGTGGGCTGCAGTACTGGATACTGACTGCCACAGGCGGAAATTAGAGGGTACACATAGGCTAATGTGCTTGAGGGTGGCCAGTGCATACCGCACCATCTCGAGGAAGGCCGTCTGTGTCATAGCAGGAATGATGCCAATCGGCCTCATCATCAAGGAGGATGTGGAGTGCTACGACACGAGGACCGTTCGAGGGGTGCGCAACAACGCGCGCGCGGTATCGATTGCGAGGTGGCAGTCGGAGTGGGAGGTGGACCTACCGCTTGATACCTTCCGTATCAAGCTGGGTCAACAGGCGCCATGGGGAAGTAAACTTCCACCTGAAACAGTTCCTGTCAGGCCATGGCTGCTTTAGGAGTTACTTGCATAGGTTCGGACAT